CAGAGTGAATGTATGAAAGTATGCGCATACTTTCACTTACCTATGCACGGTATGCAAATCAGCCTATGCAGTGAAGCAGTGAAGCAGTGAAGTGCACGATATATCATGATTCAATCAAGAACAGAGCATGAACGCTTGTGCTTACAAATATTGAAATGCCAAACAATGGCCTTAAGTACAGGATGAAAAATTGGATTTCTTCTGCAACCACAAAGAGTTCATTAAATTTTCTGGTACTCGTTAAAAGAGTAAAGCAAGCAAATTCCAAATTCCAAATTCCAAATCCAGCAATACAAACACACTTACACGAGTAAACGAGTGTGTGTACGTGTGTATCTGTGTGAGCCAGCCTTGAAGTTGGTTGCATAATAAAATCAAAAGATTGTACAAAATGGCGTTATTACACAAAAATTAGTAGGCGCACAGCAACGACAAAAGGAAACGGAAACAATGTGCTATTGTGAATAAAATTTGTACACAGTGAAGCATGTGTATGAGGGGAATATATGTGGATATAGTTGGTGGGGTGTGTATTTTAGGGAACGTCTAGGTTTTGTTACTGGCAGTAAAAGTGCTACTTGTTTTCTGCCTATTGTGCGCAGTAAAAGTTGTGCTTGTGCTTGGATCGACTTGGAACGACTTGGAACGACTTGGCTTGACTGTCTGCTTGTCTGTTGTGAGAATATTTTGTGAAAATTGCAAATTGGTTTAGGTGAAATAAAAAATTCAAAAGTTAAGCTGCATGAAATACAAAAATTTATGACTGTTTTTTGTTTAGTAGACTCAGGTCTGGCTGGTGTACCTGTACTTGTACGTATGTTCGGCCATACAAAAGAAACCTGTTGAAAGCCAAATACCCTAAGGCAACAGAGGGAAATGAGCAATCAAAAATTTTTTTAAGTGTAAAAGAATTTCTTTTACAGTTTTTTTATTTGTGTTTTTTTTTACCGCGTCTGCATATCAGTTATATATATATATGTATGTATGTATGGGTTGTACAAGTTTACATTTAAGCTGTAAAATATTTATAAAATGAATTTTTGCTTACCGTTATAAATATCTGATGCAGTCGGTACATGTTCCGGGTTGAAACGGTTCTCCAGATACGACAATATTAAATTAGTTTTTCCCACTGCACCATCACCAACGACAACACATTTAATTGCGGCTTTTTTCGGCTTATCAGTTTTTAATTCTTTATCTGTGTGAAAAGTGAGTAGAAAAAAAAATGTTTTCAATTCAATTTGTAAATTGCAATCAAAAATTAATTAAACAAAAATATATACAAGGGTCGAGCGCCCCTGGTAAGCTGCGTTCAAATTTGCATTAAAACTTTGTTGGCAATTTTATGAAGTGCAGCATTTAAACTTTAAGTATTTGAAATGGTTTTTGTGTGGATCCCTCACCTTTTGTGCTCTTCTTCGATTTACGTTTTCGCAATAAAAACTTTGCACCTTTGTTGCTGTTGTTGCTGTTACTGCCACGTGAACTGGAACTTGTATCGCTCGTGGACTGCTGCAATAAAAATGGGAAATCAGATTAAGTTACATTGTTAAAGGAGTCGAGAAAAGGTCGGATCTATGGTTGCTACTGATAAAGAGGAAAAAAATAATAAGCAAATTTGTTTAAGTACTTTTATTCGTAACAAATTTGCAGATCTCGTTTTATTAAATTCAAACAAGTTTTGTTAAATTGAATTAAATTTATTGAATTAATAAGAAAATATATTTGAAAGTTACATTTGAGATGAGTATTTTAAGCTACTCAAAAAATTTATACAATATAAATTTTATTGGCACGACTTTGATTTTCCTGGCATGCTTTCTGACAACGGATTTTAGAAAAGTAATTAAAGGTAAACTCAACTATTTTGAGCAACTTTTTCCACTACGCTATATGTCAGTATATATAGCTTTATAAGTATATGTATGGACGGAAGTAGCTATAAGTATAATAACCTTTAACTTGATATGTCTCTTTAAAGTTATTAATTTTTACATAAAAATTCGATTTGATTAAAAAATTGACTGCCAAACAATATAAAAACAATTAGAAAATGTACAAGATATTGATATCAAGTTTAATTACATAATAGATTAATAGATCTATAATAGATTATTAATTATTATAATAAATATTACTCATACGTCGCGAGTACCTTTGTCCCATACTTTTTCGTATCAATATTATTCATTAAATATTTATGACAGTACTTCGTGACTATAAGAACTAATTGCATAATCTAATGGAATAACATTATAAACAAAATATGGACAGATTTTTATAGAAAAGATTTTTATACGAAATATTCCATATGAAAATAATTCTTTTATATGAAATATGAAATATAAAATATAGATTATATGTTTTGTATATAGATATAATTTCTATATAGAGATTTTCAAGTAAAAAATGTTTAAAAAAATTTTTATTAATAATTCCAAGTTTCTTAATAATTGTTCTTAAAAACATGTACTCATAATCATATTATTAAAACAATAATTATATTGTAATTATAACAATTAGTTAATCTATACTAAATCATAATTTTTGTTCTCGATTACACATTTATTAGTTGAAAATTTTCCTTTTTTATTGTAAAATTTACTAAATCAGGTAAATAGATTTTGACAAGCGAGAAGACAACCAGTGACATAACTGTATTGTTGTCAAGCATTATTTTAATCGCATCAGTTTTGCCTTTTGTCACTTGTCAGTAAATCAGCACTCCTAACACTACGCTCACCATAAGTGACTTCAAAAATAGTGTGAGAATGCCTTCAACTTCTCTCGCTGAAAGGATTCATTTAATATGGATCCTATTCCACAGCGAAATTGAGTAAAACGAGTAAGCAGACGAACTAGACAGAAAAGAGGCCATCTGCGGTCCTGCATGGAGCTTTTTTAAGCTTAAAATGAATGAATAGCTGGAAAAAGCAGCTCAGACCGATTCGGATAATGCAATTACCTACAGACAAGCTAAACAATTCATTCCGAATCGTTCAAAAACCAGAACTAGGGAGTTTCGTATGCTGAACAGTAACGCATTCGACTTGTCACAGGGTTTCTCACTAGACATTGCGGAGTAAAAACGCATCTAACGAACATAGGTTTTACAAGAGATAATAACTGAAGACTTTGTTACAAAGAAGAAGAAACGGTAATAGACTATTATGTGTCACGCTAATAGTCTAGTTAGGCTTAGACTTCAGTACTTATCAACTGCCTATCCACTTATCATACAATTAGGCAACATCTTTCTAAAGGATATAATGGCGTTTTTAACTGCTGCTCGTTTATGGCATTAAAGTGGGTATGTCACAATATTCCTTAAAGGATGCATTAACGTGGTAACAAGTTCCTAACCTTTGTTGCGAAGAAGAAGAAACAGCAGAATACATTATGTGTCATGGTAATAATCTCGCTAGACTCAGACTTCGGTACTTATCAACTGTCTATCCACTTATCACACAATTAGGGAGCATCTCTCCAAAGGACATAATGACGTTTTTAACTGCTGTTCGTTTATGGAACTAAAGTGGGTATATCACAATATTTTTTAAAGGAATCAGTAACGTGGTAACAAGTTCCCAACTCGTTTTTAAATCTAATCTAATCTAAGAAAGAAATGAATATAAATAAATTTTACATGTTAAATATACAGCGTGGTTTCTGTACTTGAACGGAATTAAAAACATAGAGGCTATATTTAAATTTGAAAATTATTTATTGTGTTCTGTTTATTTCCTTAATCAGGAAACTAGAAACTTCTTCTGGGAAAATAATTTTCTTACTTAAATTTTCCAAATGTTGTATTGCCAATATATTCGAATTGAAATCAAGCTTGTTCCGATGAATGAAAATGTCGACGGCTACAAATATATATATTTCTTTTTCTAATTTTTATGATTAATAATTTTGATAATTCAAGTATTTATTTAAGGTAATCAGTCAATAGCTTTATTTCTTTCTATAAAAATATAATATAACTCTTTCTGTTCTTAACATTAATTCATTCCTCATACGACTTTATTATGAACTATGAACCAATTTATCGAATAGCCATCAATCATCGAAACGAAAACGACACAATAACATTTGACAGTCATAATTCTCACATCAAAATATCAATAAATAATATCGATAAATATTCAAAATTTGATTGGCAATTTTCTCATAAATTTCTTATCCGCTTTAGAGTGCAAATAAAATTACAATCGTTAATTCGTTCGTTTGGGAGTTTTATAATTCAATAATGATGACATGAGTGCATGAATGCATGAGTGAAACAATTTCACAACAACAACAACAACAAAACTCACACAGGAGTTTTTTTTTCCCATTGTACAAAAAAGGAGCTTTGTTTCTGCTGTGTGTGGTATATGTGTGAGTGTGAATGTAGGAATGGGAGTTAAGTTGGCGCAAGAGTTGAGTGTATGGTAAGACATTGCACACTGCGGGTAGTAGGGTATGCGGCGGAAGCTGTGAATTAGAATCACGCTCAATTTAATATAATTTAATATGCGCATATAAATTAGTTGAGAGAAAGCAAAAACAAAAACCAATAGAAATTGTGGCTGGTACAGAAGTGATAATTTCTTTACTTTTGTATCGCTTTTGACACAACAACACACGCACACACTCAAGCAAAAGCGTTTTTTGATGGTGTGCGCTATGCGTGTGTAAATGTTGTTTTGTGTTTCTTGCTTAGCAGGAGGAAATGCTTAGTCAAAGGAAACAGCAGAGGAGTTCTGCTTGTGTGGCTTG